AGACGAGGCTAAATGGGTCCTAGAGACCTTCACTTTACACCAGAGACTTCTCCAATAGGTAAAAGGGCTTCTTATCAGCAATATTTTGTCACAAGTTAATTACCAAGCTCACACACATCTAATATTCAAATCGGAATGATCACAGTTAAGACCATTTGTAGCTCAGTTTAGGGATTAAGACTGGAAAGATCAAACAGTGGTTGCAAAGGCCTCGCCATTCACTGCTGCTCTCCTGCAATAGCCAATAAATACCAGGGCATGCTGAGGGAGGTCAGAGAATCCAGACACATGTTCACAGGAAGGGTGGATTTATTTGCAAGTATTTGTGCACAGGCAGCAGCCTGGAAGAGGCCCCGCACTGCAAGCTTTGCTCAGTCTCAACTACCCCACCAGGCCCATGCCAGGAGGCTTCCTCTTGGGCTAGCACTGCTCAGGGCTCCCACTTTGCTGTGACCACAGGTTGCCGCCCAGGAGGGAGCTGCTGTCTGCAGAGAACATTCGAGTTTCAAGCCGCTTCCCATGGAATTAGGAGAGGGAAATAGGCCACCTACACGTGCACCAGGCCTTGGCCACATCCTGTGGAAGCAGCCTGTCCAAGCGCTGCAGCCTCACGCGCAGCCAGAGGCCAGCACGCACGGCGGGGCAGAGCAGCGGTGCAGCTGTACAGGGCTAGGCACAGGCAGTGCCGCGCCGATCGTTACTTAATCCTTGTTCCATTATTTCAGCAGGACTGGAAGTGGGACACACAGGGAAAGAACTGCCAGCAACACTCCCCTCTCCATGGGCTGCCAGCAGGATATTTCCCCCTGCCGCCTGCTCTTCCAGCTCTTTGCATCTGTAGAGGAGTGTGAGTTTTGTTACTCCGGAGATTGAGAGCAAGCGCAGGGCACCTCCATGGAGTACAGTGCGTACGGGCAACRGCAAAGCAAGTTTCCTAGCGAGTCCCACTTTGCTCTACCAAGCRGCCAAAGAAATTGCTTTAGGAAGGAGCACAGAGCAGCGGCACCTGGTTCAATAAACCCTCAGAGACCTTTAGTCTCACTGCTTTCAACAAAGCCCCTCCATGTCCATAAACCTGAGAAAGGAGGGGAGAAATTTATCCCAGACTCCTAGTTCCAAATCACTTTGACGGTCTAAAACTGTGAACCAGCACCCAGAGCTGTCAGCTCTCTGCAGAGGAGTCTAACCAAGCATTTACCATGAAAAACAGGAAAAACTCCCAGCTGCTGCCTCAGGGTAACTTATCCAAGTATCCACCCCCCTCAGCCTTCCTCGGGGACCTGGAAACAACTCTTAAATCTGTCAGGCACTTCCAAAGACTCTTCCCTGATCCCGGGTACAGTGTGCAAACCCTGACACTCAGGCAGAAGGCTCCATGCACAGCCCATGCAGTTCCCACTTCTCCACAGGACTGAGACCATTTCTTCCTTTTATTAGCTTTGCAACTATAAKGCTTCACAATTCTCCTCTTTAATAACAGTTCTTAAAGAAAACACCCCCTTAAACAACACAGGCTTCTGATTAGTAATTAGCACTCATGCCCAAGCAACAACGAAAACATATTAAAAAGCATCAACAGTAAATACAGCTTTGAGGACTAATTAATTGTTCTGGGCTATTCTACTCCAGTCCGTGAAACCCAGCCAAGTTCTTCCCTTGTGTAACACAGGCTAGGTCAGGAGTAGCTGCGCTTAAATTCATGGGAATAACTCCAGCCTCAGCCAGCAGCAGACACGCGGATATCTGAGAAGTGCCACCTGTGACACAGCAACCAGCACAGCAGAGAGCAAACAGTAAATCCTTTGAGGACAGACACCTGACATCCCAAAAGCTTCACCTAGTCATTTGGGACACAAGGATATGTATGTTTAAGACAACACATTTTCATCCCTACAGATGCCAGCAATGAATTAGCTATGCAGCTGCACAGCACTATTATAACCTTAAAGCTTTCATACTATTAAAATCTGCACCTAAAATAACTAAACCACCATTAAAAAGGAAGGAGGAGAAAAAAATATAATCTTGCATGTGCTATCTGCAAAGAAATCTCACCTCTCTACCTTTTTTTAAAAAATAGCCTGGGAAGAGGGAAAGTTTTGCATCAGCACAGACAACTCTTTAGTGCAAATCTGACTTCAGACTGTGTTACACAGCAAAAAATTAAGTATCTCGAGCAGTTTCAGAGCAGATCACTGCAAAGCAGAACTGCTCAGGGCAGCTGGATCTTCCCAACGCCCTGCACATGAGGGCTTTATGTGGCTGCGGGGCTGGGGCTGCTCCAGCAGGAAGCCCTGCACTTGCATAACCGCCCGTAGGCCGACACGGAGCGGCCCTTCCCGATGGGAATTTCGGTGCTGTTTCTCAAGCTATCTGCACCAAGCTGTATTAACTGTGAGGGACTCCAGTGCATRGCCCCTCCTTTATCAGTTTTTCCTCCTGGAAGCTTAAAGAAAAAGTCTCTAGCTTTGCTGCCAACAAGAAATAACAATAGTTTCTACAGACTCTAATGCTTTTATTCAGTACTGATAGCCTTGTTGACAAAATACACAGCTTGATTAAGTCAGTCCCAGAACTCTCCCCAGCGCGCAGAGCCACATTTCCAGGAGTTCAAACAAAGGCTTTATCTGGAATACACTGAAAATCGACTCCAAGCACCGCTTCAGCACCGCGGCCCTCATTAAAGAAAGAAGATAAATGGCTAGGGAGGGATTTTCAAAAGCACTTTGACGAAGTTAAAGCCACCATAAGTCAGGGAGCACAGGATTTCTCTTCCCTCACTCAGCCACCAACATGCCCAGGTTTATCATCCCGGCACGGGCTCCTTGGATGGGAGACGTGGGACACCCAGCTCTGCCCGGCTGCCTCCCCTGGGAATCCTGGTAGGGGGCTCCCCAGACCCACACGCTGCAACCGCGTCCCCAGCCTGGGGCTCCTGCACGGCTCAGCTTCTGCCTTTGGCTTCTTTGAAAAGGCTTGTGCAAAGCAAAAGTGATCCACGGGGATAAAATAATGTGTCCTCAACATACAGTACTTTTAGAGAGCACGCTAAATAACTACTGAAAATGAGTTAACAATCCAGTGCATCAGAAATTAGTTTACAAGCCTATGAATTATGAAAAAAACAGATATTTTGGGTTTGTTTCTCTAAACCTAAAGTAATTTTTAAAGGATTAGATGCTGTATTACTTTAAAAACAAAAGCATTATAAATAGCTTAAATATCTGCTTTCCATATTGAGAAAGAAATATTAGTTTTGTATCACCAGGTACAAAAGTCACCACAAATTTCCACTTCAGCTAATACTTYGGCTCGTGCAGAATTTACAAAGTGACTTTGTCAAAGTGGTTAAAAGATCACAGTCTACAGGTCTGTAGCAGTAGATTTGTGTGTGATTACTAATAAGATTTAAATCAAAACTCAAGACACTCAAAAAAAAAAGTTCCATACGAATAAGGCACTCCTGGGTATCAGCACTCCTGAAAAAGCACAGCTTTCTTCAAACTGATCATTTTATATATTTCCCTACCTAAGCAACAACGCACTGCGCTGTTTTAAAATGAACACTGCGATTCTGGAGTTATGCTGAGATGATTAAAAACCTCACATGATCATTACCTAAGGTAATGATCTGTACTGTGCAAAAGAGCAACAGGTGAACATGATGAGTTGGGCACTGGACTATAAAGGGCCAAATGCTGCTCTCAGTAACGCAGCACACCTGAAAATTTCATGCAAAACAAGGCAATCTGCAGCCAAAAGCAAGTAACACCAAGAGAACCTGACAAACCCCTAATAACTCCATTAATAAGGGGCTGGATGATCTCCAACAGTTCTTCACTGACCCCCTTCTCTCCTGGCGGAGGCACGGAATATCTATGAGAGCTAGGAGTTTTATGGATTCAATAATCTATAACTACAAACAGCTAAGGGGTCTCTTCTGACAACAGTTCATTTCCTTCTTTCCTTCCCTTCTGAAAGTCAGTTAACCGTTAAGGACACTTATAGGAGCGTACGAACACTCGCTGTTCCCGTCAAGTGAATTGAGCTGTCAAAGCAGGGCACGCTTCCCCCCTCGACTCCTCCGTGCTTCACTTGTCTCACTTCATACTCCAGATCTTATCAGGCCGGGTCACAGCACCGCGTTTCGCAGCCACACTACGGGAATAGGGACGGAGCGACCGCGCTTTACAGGAAAGGACTATTGCCCTGTCCTGCACTTGCTGAGGATTTGTGTAGGATTGTGTACACACCTATATATTTATACTTATATATAAATGGCTAAGTACTCCGAAATATTATCTCGGTAAAAAAGCCACCAAACTTGACTACCCATCGGGTTCTACACCCTAACTTCAGCTTTACCATGTGCAACTCGACGGTATTTGGCAGGCTGGTAGCTTCCAAGAAAAGAGAGAGGAACACGGGGAACGGCGAGCAAAAGCACAAATCCGCCTCCTGCCTCCGCTGCCGGCCCGCAGCAGCGCGGCCGGGACGGGGCTCGCGGGGCCCCGGTCGCACCGTGGGGCTGCGAGCCCCAAAGCCAGCGGCCAGGTCCATATTTGGGCCTGGTTGTCAGCGGCGCCGGGGCGCTCCCCACGTTGCAGAACCAGGACATTTATCCCGATGTCCAAATAAGGATTAAGGAGCCCAAGTTCAGCCACCCAAATCTGCCCCCCTTTTTTTTTTTTAAATGTTGGAGCAGATCACTAACGGCGCAAGCCGCTCCCATGCCTTCCCCCCTCACACACCCCGCGGTGTCCGCGCAGAGGAGGGAGAGGAAAAGCCGCAAAAGRGGGGTATTTGAGGGGAAAGAAGCCCGTGCCGACACAGCAGACCCCAAACCCGCGGCCCGGCGGCCCCACGGCCACCTCGGCGGCCGCAGCGCCCGCCACCGCGCTCGCAACAGCCCGAATGAGGCGAAAGTCACGGCCAATAAACACAAAATCCAGCCAGAGGCGGCGGGGGTGAAGTTAGATTTAGCGCTCCCCAATACTCACACGAGTCGCGGCCAGCGGGGCAGCTCCCRGGGCAGCCGCGGCAGCGCGAGGGCGCCGCAGCCCAGCAGCTCGCCGTCGCAGGCGCAGCCGGCGGGGCAGGCGGCGGGGCCCGTGCTCGGAGCGGCCGGGGCCGGGCTGCTCACGGCGGCGGAGCCCGAGCGCAGCAGCGCGAGCAGCAGCAGTGCGGCCGCCGCGGGCGCGCACCCCCCGCCGCCCCGCGGCGGCACCGCCATTTTGTCTCCGGCACCGGAGCGGGGTCGGCGGCGGGATGGGGGGCGGGATGCGGGGAGAAGGGACGGGGGGGCGGCCGGCGCAGCGGTCCGCGCTACCCGGCAGCGCCGCGCCGCGCTACGCCGCCCGTCGGCATCCGTATCGTTCCCCCTGCGCGGGAGCGGCGGGCGCCTTGTGCTCCGCGGAGCCCGGAGCCGCCGCGACCGCCCGGTCTCGCTGCTGCTGCCGCCGCTCCGGCCGAGCGCCGCTCGCCTCAAGCCCCACGTTGGCTACATCGCAACGTGCTGCCGCGCCGCCCCCTCCCCGCGCCGCCCTCTGATTGGCTGGCGGGCCGGCCTGCGCCCCCTCGCATTGGCCAAGCTGCGCCGCCGCCGCCGCCCCGTTGAAGGCGGCCCCCCGTCAATCAGAGGCGCGAGGGCCCGCCCCCCTTTGCCACTCCAGGTGTGAACGCGGGAGGCCTCCGCGCGGCTGCTCTTAAAGGGGACGCGCCGGGCGAGCGGCCAGCGCCTGACACCCCGTTCCCGCCCACGCTCCGAATTTAATGTGCCCCAAACAGTTGAAAACTCCCCCAGATTCTGGCCAGGGACGCTCTGCACGAGCCTTTTGCGGCTAAGTTAAAGTCATGTCTTGTCAGGACCCGTTTGGGACCAGACTATGGTCGTCCAAAACCAAATTCACCCGTTTTACCAAGGCTCGCGCCACAAAATGGTGGCATTGGGCCAGCTTGGGGCCAGGCCTGCGGGGCGCCACCAGCCTCCTCAACAGCAGCACACGGAGATTGAGCCACCTCAGCAACATGGCTGGACCACCGGGAAGCGGGAAGTGCCGCTTCTCCAGGTGGTGGAAATGGGGCTCGGCATCTTCGACAAATTCCCCATTTCTGCCTTCTTCCTTCATGAAAATTGGGGCATCCTGCTCTTGATCTGCCAGGACGTAGGGGGTTTTCCCTGCTGTGACCCACAACTGAGGATCCTTTGGCTCTTCCAAGCAAGGTTGAGCAAGGTGAACAGTTTGGTTCCTGCTTAATTAATTTTTTTAATTCCTCCTTAATTAATTCTCCAGATGAATTATAGATAAGGGATGCAAGATAGGAAACATTATCAGCAACTGACAGGGCAACCCAGGGGAAGAGAGGTTGCAGACCAGCCTCTGAGAGTGGCAAAAGGCTTGGGGTTTTATCATCAGGCTCAGTACTCCTGCCTGTCCTCTTCATTCTAAAATACGTCAGAAATCACTGCTGGGCAACCTTCGATACACTGATGTGTATCGAATTCACATGAGTGAGTTTACAATCACTTGGGGTTGCATTTATATACCTTGATTCATTGCCATTATGATTGCCTGATGAATGTGTGTGGTGTTGTGTGATACACAGCAAACAATGTGTACACACCACTAAGGTACCTAATGTAAACAGCAGTCAAAGTTGTCCTRGAGCGGGAGGGCTTTGCCACAGCACAGCACCCTTGCCCCGCTGAACTGCCATAATGTTCCTTTTGGCTGCTCYGTCCTCTGGAGTTGGCCTGTGCGCTCGTGAAAAGATGTGCATGGAAGCATAGTACCTATGAGAAATGGGAGAAGGAAGAGAAATGAGAAAACGAGAAAAAAAAGTTTGGAGGTCAGACTGAGAAAGAGCTTTGACCTTGGAAGATGAAATGATGAAATCTAAAAGACAGTTTATGATTTGAGTCCTTCTCAAAAGTGTGACCATCAATTGCCAGAAGTGTCATCATTCACTGGAGTGGCATTTCCCTCTTCTTTCCTATCTGCCCTTGCTAGTCTGTCTGCATAGAGACTATCTGGTCTTTGAGACAGACTTGCCGGCATTAGATTACAGAGATGAATGGATAACTCTCAACCTCCAGAAAGGCTTCTCCTGTCCGGCAAGGAGTTCCTGAGACCTCCAGGCACATGATGTTCACACACAGCATCAAACCTGGGCAGCCGAGCGCCAAGTGCTGAGCCCTGGCAATGCTTAGCAGCTTTCCTGCCCTCCCCAGCCAGCCGTGTCTCCGGGATCCCTGCTCACAAAGTGTTTCACAGTGACAGCCAGGGTCTTTTGGACCCTGCCGCTGCGCAAAGCTTTTCTCTTGGGTCCCTGATGGCAAACAGACCTGCCAGTGCAGACACTGCCTATATTGTCTGCGCTAGACCCTAAATCTTTCCGGGAAGAATCAATAGGCATTATTTATAGACTGGCGCTTTTTCAAGGTAAAACATTGAGGGTTAGRCTTTTGTTACACCAAGAAATAAAGCCACACACAGTAGTGTGGCTTTGGATCCTGTTTCAGCCTATTACACAAGCGCAGAAGATAGGAGAATAGCTTAGGCTTAGTCCTTTAATGTATTTGAAAGTTGTTTGTGAACTAAGAGCAAGTAGTTCCTGTCCCTGCAGAGGGAACCTCAGGCAGGAAGGGTAGATATATTACAGAAAATTCTTCAGCCTTACAAAAATATATAGCCAACTAACTATATTATATATATTGTTACGTAACTTTAGTTTTTCAGTGTGAGAAACCCAAAGTGTAAGGCGCTTCTAAGGAGAGGTTTTTTTTTTTTCCCTGTGGGTAAGGCATCAAAAAAAAAAAAAAAAATCCTTTAAAGTGGTTTCAGAATTAACACTCAAGATTATTAATTATTCTCGAAACTTCTGATCTCAAACCTGACTGATTTCTTTCCACCGGTGCAATGCCAGGTTGTACACTTGGTGCTGCGTGACTCTGCTSCCGTGCTGCTGCATACACGTGTGTCCAGGTGGGATGCTCAGTGCAGAGGGATGGACAGACTGGAGGCCCTCTGGACGCTCCGAGTCTTTTGGGGAGCAAAAAGCACACCAGGAGCAGGGCCCTGTTGTAAGGGTTACCACGTGGGATCTCCCAAGGAGAGAGACAYCAAGAAGCATTAGAAAACCTTTTTCCAAAAGTTATCCCAAAGAAGCTCTCCTGAGAATCAGGCTGGATTGCCTTGTGTTTGCACCAATTTGCTGTGGGCTGAGTGCTCATCAACAGTAGCTGGTAGGAAACAAGAGTGATCTCACAATCTTGAGCTCTCCCTCATAACCAGGTCAATACYGCAGAGGAGCTCGTGTGTACAGTATGGAGGATGTTTCCTCCTAGGACCTCATTAAATCTAATTAAATAGCTTACAAAAGTATTTATGAAAACAAATTTCAAAATGGCAAGGGCATGCCAACAAGGAAGATATTTCTAATTCTGTCGGTGTCTTTCTGTGGATTTGGACTCAGTTCAGAAAGTGCACACTTGGAAGGTAATTGCTGACAGCATGCAGAATCCATCAAGCTATAATTAACACTCCACTATTATTCTAATTGCCTCACTCAAGCTTCTGTGTTTTTTAATTGTAGAGCAATTTGCCAATAGAGAATTTAATTGCAATACATATTTTTTACATTTTGGGACAAAGTACCATTACTTCCATTTCCAGCAAGAATGTTCCTCAGTTTTTAATAGCTTTCTTTATTCTTTTTGAGGATATTTTGCCCGATAAAGGGATTTGATTGCAACCCCTTGTGAAATTAGTAATGATATAATATATATACAGGAGTGCCCGGAGGCTTCAGTTTGGATCGTGACTCCATTAAGCGAGGAACTGTACATACATGTAGTAAGACACAGCCCGAGGAGCTTGAAATCTAAACAGAGAAGACAAACCGAGGTGAGAACAGAAGTATTATCCCTCTGTCCTAGAGGTGGGGAAATGGAGCCACAGATGACTCACCTTAGGTGACCCTATGTTATCTGGGGTCCAGCCAAGAACTCACACAGGCCCTGAGCACAGAGCATTCTTTCGTCTTTAATATGGACTTATTTTCTGACTCCTGGTTCCTGCAGCTCCTGCAGAGCTTCAGTACATCCCTCTAATTTGAGGCACAAGCTATACCTTCTAAATAGCTTACAACAATCTGATACCTGCAGTCATGTTTTATGGATGTGTCCATGAAAGCGAGAGTAAATGTGTTTGAGAAGTGAGTGCCTCAGCTTCCTCTGCAGCAGTCATAACTAGGAAATCACCACTCAGGGAATGGCTGCATCAGCATCAGGGACAAGACCTGGACAAAAAAGCTGCATAGAATTTATCACGGTAAAAAAAGGTTATAGCAGGTGCATTGTAGGGAGTGTTTACAACATCCAGCAATTGTTCATCACAGCAGCAGTCACACTTATACCCAGCCAACAGTGGTCTTTGATATTGGCTCCTCTTGGCAAGCTGTAAGATTCAATGCCCGGCATCCAGGTTGCAAGAGAGAGTTTCTGTGGTGTGAGCAGATTGACCAAGGCATCGGCATTCCAGGGACTTGTTAGTTGATCTGGTTACACCAGATCTGCAAGGACAGTCGAATGGCTGCTTGCCACCAGAGCCGATCCTGCTCTTGGACCTCAACCCTGCTCCTCAGAGCTGGTTTTGTTGGAACAATGTGCAAGTTGTCTGATGTGACCCCAAAGCGCCTTGCAGCAATGACTAATGATAACATCACTTCTCATTGCTCTAATGGGTGAAGCCCATTCAGATTAGCAAGAGGCAGCCTGTGACAGTGAGAATTAAAGGAAGAGATGACCCAGTCAAGCTTCAGCATAGGGTCAGTGGCAGTGCTGGCATGAGAGCTTAGCTTTTGCACAAAGTCCAAAGAGCTTGCCTTGCAATGACACATATGTCTTTTCTGCTCTTAAAATTTCAGACTAGTACTTGAACTCTGGTCCTCCAAGAAAGCAACGTCTTTGATCAAGACCAGATCATGCTTTGTGAATGTGAAAGTTCACTCGAGTAGCTGCTGTCATGTCATTTTTTTCACAGGCAATGAATTAAATTACTTTCCCAATCTGGGAATGGCACATGCCGTTAGCAAAAGATGGTGCAAATAGCTAGATCCAATTAACTAAATCCACACTCTGTCACAATGTTACATACTCTGTCTTTTCTTTTTCCTGAAAGGACTTGTTTTCAAACTTTTGTGTAAATGTATGTGCATTTGATCTCATCTTTTAAAAGAATAGCCTATCAGAAAAGCACACCAGTGATTTCCTGCTGACACAGAGGGGGAAGTAGACTGTTAGCACTAGAATATTGCCTGCCACTTGGATGGGCTAAATGCATGATAAGACAAAGGGTTTGGATATC